ACTCGACATTCAAGGTTAATGCTGCATATTTTCTTTTTTCTGTTCCAGACGGCTTGGTGCTTATTTATCTTAGCCTTTTCAAAAGTCGCCGTTATTATTTTTGCAATGTTAATTGTTCTAGGTCGGCGGCTACGATCCTGATGCAGTTTGGCCGGAGGGTAAAGCTAATGAAAAAGATGACGCGGTAGGTCCGAAACATTTCTTAGTTCCCTGAGACTGGAGTACTTTTTATCCTATAGAATCAGGAATTTGTGTTTTGCATAATGTGACATGGAATTCAAGGAAAAAACATGAACTTTTTCAAGGTACGTTGTGTTTGCGGTTCTCTCGAAGAAGATGGAGAAATGACACTCTGTGACACTTGCAACTTTTGGCTACATAGTGAATGCTTGCAGGATGTTGATCAAGATACTGTAAGTGCTTATATCAGTAATCGTATGTGTTTATCATCCAGTGCAGAACCCTTCTTTCTTAGTTCGTAATGCCAGTGTCACTTTGTCTCATCGTAAATTTGACCTTACTTCTTTCTACTTGAATTCGGAAGTTAATTTATGGTTTTATGTTCTTTTGCTTTACAAATATTATAATGTGCCTCGCCAAGTTCAAGAAGTTAAAGCGTTTCAAATGCGCGAATTCCCATAATTATCAAACTTGCTATGGTGTATGATGGTATACCTACCAGGCTCTGAATATGACGCCAGAAGGGAAGGTCACTTATGGCTCAAGAATTTTTGGGGCAGAGATGCTGTCAAATTTTTGAGAAATTTCTGCTTTTTCTGTAATGGTATGAATACATAGCGTATGAATACATTAAACCTGTATATTACTTGCGAAGGGAGATTTTGCGTGCAAATATGCTACCTGTTTATGATATTCGCCTGACTAATACAACGCATACTTTCGAGCGGATCCCACTTCCTAGGTTTCATGCATTAGATGTTTCTGTCCAAACCTTCCTTCCGTTACATCCCATTTAGAATTGGTGGTCAACTAATTGATATCGCCTCGACAGATTCTACAGGGAATTGAGGGATATATATATATATATAAATGCT